CAACCTGCTGCGTTTGAGTTTGCTTGGTAACAGATGACTCAGAATAAGTCAGGAAGTGTACTTCTAAAATGTCTTTGTTTCCTCTGTAAAGTGTGCATTTTTTGGTTGTTATTTTGAGGAGCTGTCTGGATGAGGTTTTGAATAACTAGGTTATTCATTATTATCTTTTATTTGTTTATATCTTTTTATTAAGCTTTGAGTAGTGCCATTTGATTAAAACATTTATTCAATATATTACATATATACTTTCGGTTAGGTTATTACATATATTACAGAGAGCTTCTGTCTGGTGAGAGGTGAGACAGAGTGCAGTTGAGGTCGTGACACACACACACACACACACACACACATACAGAGTAGATGAACTTAGGTCTATGTAAGAGTTCAGACATATTTTTCTTGCAACTGCATTTTGTGCCTGCATAAGTTATAGTTTGTTATAGGACGTGCGCCTGATGTTCCAGACGATAAGCGAGTGTACGGCAGCGACAGGAAGCATCTGGCTTGGAGGCGAAGAGAATGTTTTTTTTAACTGTCACAGGTCGTCAACAGAATATTTGTGATGTAGGTGTGATGTATCTGCTTTAAAGCATGAGGGGGCGTCATAAATAATACCCTGATGTTATAAAAACAACTGCTGGTGTATTTTTGGGCGGAGATCGACAGCTGATGTTTTGTAGTGTACATCTCCCCACGCGTGGTTCATTAAAATCATCGTTTGACCTAAACCTCCTGGACCAGTGTTGTTATTTGGATCCCTCCTGTATCCCTCCTCGATATTTGAATCCGTAAGACTCCCACAACAATGATAGTGACATCTTGTGAAAGCCAGCAAAAATACCTTCTTTTTGATGTATAATTTGTGGGGGTTGAGTGAAAATTAGTTAGAAGTTGTTGGGACATGAAGAGAAAATTCAGAAAGGTCCAGTGTTCACTCTTAGTTAATTGCATAGCAACCATAGCAACGCATGTATTTTCTGAAAAATCACAATTTTGCAACTGAAAACTTAAAGAGGGATAAGATTAAAATGGTAGAAGATATGAAAAAGCGGAGTTAACCATGAATAGCCCAATAATTTGAGAACATTTTGAAGTTGGAATGGAGTTTTTACATGAAAGTATGAGGATGTAGTTCAGTTTCAAAAACAAGCAAGTTTAAGCAGAATTTTTGAGGTTTTCCGTTCATTTCAATGGGACAAAAAAAAATGAAAAAAGTGTAATATTTTAAAAAGTATAATAGTAATAAAAACCAAAAGATATAGACATAAAGAGCAGAAAGAGCAGAATACTGTAAAGCTTGAACGGTGAAAATAGCACAAAAACTGAGGAAGTAGTTAAAGGCCAAAAAATGTACGGAAGCAACTAGAATAATAACTAGAAAAAATTGCATTTCCTGCGAAAATGCTGTGTGGATGCTGTAACGCTGAAGCTGTCTGCTGAAAATAGCTGAAAAAAATGAAAAGTTGCAAAAATTGCATGGCGATGAAAAAAAATGAAAATTATCCTGAAAACAGGTGAAGCAGCAGAAATTTTTGCTGAAAATTGTTGACAAGCAAAAAATTCTACTGAAAAAGGATAAAGAAGCTAAAATTTGTACTGAAAAGAGGTGAAAAGGTAGTGAAAGGAAATGTTGCCAAGAGCACGATTCAAACCTGGCCTTCCTGGTCTCAAGACCGCTACTCAACTCACTGAGCCACACTCATTCTCACAAAAAAAGAGATGGAGAGACTGACAATTCTGCTAAAATGAGCAGAAGATGCTGAGAATTGTGCTGATAAGAGGTAAAAAGACTGATAATTCTGCTTAAGAGAGGTGAATCAGCAGAATTTCTGCAGAAAAGAGGTAAAGAAGGAGAACGTTGTGCTGAAAAGAGTTTTTTTCTGAAAACAGCTAAAAAAAGATGGGATTTGTGCTGAAAAGGGGTGAAAAAACTGAAAAGTTTGCCGAAAAGGGGTGAAGAAGCTAAAATTTGTGTTGAAAAGATTTAAAAAATTTTAACTGTTAACTGAAAAAATTGTTGCCATAAGCGAGTTTTGAGCCCAGGCCTCCCGCTCCGAGAACGGCTGCTCATCTCACTCAGCTAAAACACAGCTCAACCCGGCAAGCAAAATCAGTGACCACACTGATAATGTGTTCCATTCATTTCAATGGTCAAAAGTCATAGCACACATTAGCAGAAATAGCACAATTTTTTAAAATTTAAACATAGTATTTATACTAAAGACATAGTCTTTCTTCTAAATCACAACATTTGAACCAATTGATAGTATTTCTGCCAAATCACAGTATTTGTACCAAATCATAGCATTTGTGACAAATCATAGTATTTAGCTAAATCTGTGCTAAAACATAGTAGTTATACTAATTAATATTTTTTCTGCCCAATTATAGCATTTGTGCTGAAACATAGAAAATTCTGCCACATCATAGTATTTGAGCCAAATCATAGAATTTGTGCTAAAACATTATTTATGATTCATGATTTAGCAGAAACACTGGGACTTGGTAGAAATACTATGATTTACATGAAATACTTTGACTTAGCACGAATATCATAATCTAGCAAAACTACTACAGCATAGCAGAAATTCTATCATTGAGCAGAATTACTAGGACTTAGCACAAACACTATGATTTGCCTCAAAAACTTTTACTTTGCAGTTATACTATGATTTGGAAGAAATACTATGCTTTGGAACAAATACCATGATTTGGCAGAAATACTATGAGCAGTAATAATATAACGGATGACGGAATCCTTGGTCAAGAGAGCCTTTTCACACTAAGTAGAAGACTGGTGGTAAGTGAATTATTTAATTTATGTTTTATTTCAATGTTTAAATCTGTAAATCCAGCAGCTTTAAATTTGGTATTATTGAAGGCAAAGCTAAACACATATCACTTCTTTTCTGCTAGCAAGGTTAAGGTTAGCTTAACTGTTGCTAAAAACCTTCAGAATACAGTCAGGAATGAAATGGGAAGGTTTAGTGGATGGAATAAAAACAGCAAACAGCCACTTACTGCTAAATATGCGGAAAATGACAGTGGAGAGTATAACCTCAGTTTCTTAACATAAAACTCATTACTGCAGCAAGGGGGAGCGCAAAAGTGATCCCCTTAAACTGGTTTTAAATTTTAGTGTCTTTAATTTCCACTGAGTTGTCTAAGGAGCTTGGAAAGAAAAGCCTCTGGACTTCTTTAAGTTGCTTGAAGACATTTCATCTCTTATCCAAGAAGCTAATTCAGCATGGGCTCAAATTGTGGTCATAAATATTTTGTACTTATAAATCAGTTTTGTACTTGTAAATCAGGATTTGTATGTGTAAAAAGAATTTGTCTGTGTAAAAAAAAAAAAAATTGTATGTGTGCGAAAAAAAGATTTGTATGTGGACTTGGCAAAAAAATATGTGTGAAACTCTGCACTCAAGTTTCAAGTTACAAGTACGAATTTTGACCCTATTTTTCTTCCTTTCAGCTGATTGGTCAATGTCATGTCAATCACAAATTTAACTATACAATCAGAACAGATGGGTCTGGCTGTGGGAGGGCCACTTTTTTGAACTGCAGGTCCTTGAAGGGTAATGCAGTTTGAAACTGGAGGATCGATAGAAGCTAGGTCCCCTAACTTTCAGTAGCTGTTGAAAGGATAAAGTTGTGGTATATCAGTGGTTAGAAATACCATTATTACTTTAGGATTAGTTTAACACAAAGTCAGGGCTGACCCGGGACCATTGCTGTGAGTCACAGTGCGCAGCATACAGGTCCTTTCACACCAGACGCAGCATGGGCTCCTAATGCTAATTGCTAACTAAAAGCCAAGGATCCAGAATTTGTTGTGCTGGCTGCGGGGTTTTGAGGCAGCTCTACCTGCACTAGATACACCTGCTCCTTGTCGTTTCTATCTCTGACTTTATGTCCTCTACAAGAGTTTTTTTTTTATCTTCAAATGTTCAATAAAAACATGTATTGCTAATTCATAACGAAGAAAGCTTTGTAACTATCCCTACTAGTGAAGACTGTCATTTCCACAGCACTGCTGCCCCCCCCCCTTGCCTGTTATCGGACCCGGAGTTGGCAACATCCCCCAAGAACCCGAAGAGTAGAGTCCTGGCCCCTAACCCTGCCAGTATAGCAGAAATGATGATGGATGATGATGGCAGCAGCAGCCGTTCTTCTCTGGAGTAGCTTAATGTAGTTCATGTGTAATTTACATCGAGTAAGTTAACCACGTTATTAAATTAATGCACGTAAGGTGAACTAGCAAACACCGCTGTCTTTTGGTTTGATAGAGTGATACCATATATGCCCTATAGCTTCAGAAAAGGCTAACATTGTTATCTTTTTACAAAAAAAAAAACCAAAAACAGCTAAACATGAGAGGTTTTAGGACAAAGTTTGTGCTTTCCATTGTTTAAGCACCGGTGTCCATGGGGATTAAATCTGGGACTCTCCATCATTTGACCCTAGAACTGAAGAAGCTTCTCGGATGAGAGGTGAAACGTCTTGAAGCAACTTAAAGAAGTCCAGACGCTTTTCTTTCCAAGATCATTAAACTCCGATGACCTGGATGATTGAGAACCTTCACAGACATATTTCCATTGAGTTATTGATTCTGTCATAAATTAGTTAACATAAACTAATGTAAGTCTATTGGCCGCCAACAAACAACAACATGACATTATATTCGGTACTGACAGAAGATGGAATGAAATATGTTTTTAAAATTTTGACTTTAAGCACTTATTTCTTAAATCTAGCTTCACTATAGACACCCAAATATGCAATTTGGATATTTTCTCACTACCAGTATAAAAAAGGGTAAAATAGTCTTAACTCTCTAAAATGACATGTGCAAACAAAAATTGTTGCTTTGAAAAATCTTTAGTATATATATTTCATAGTGTAATAATTTACCCAAAGGCAAATAAAAGTCTATAAAGGCTGGTGTAATATAAATCAGATTTTAATTGATCATCGGTGGAAAAAGTTTGAATCCTGACCTGAGAGTTTGAAGTTTGCAGTTTGGACCTCTTACGCCAGCTGACACAAGCTTTGCTCCAGAATCCTGCAGATCGTTGTTACTCAGGTCCAGCACTCTCAGCCTAGAGAACTGGGTGGTGATAACTAGGGCCAGAGTTTCACAGCTTCTCTCTGATAAGTTACATAGACTCAGTCTGGAATACAAACAATCGACAGTAGAACTAACATTGTCATAAAACTGTACTTTGGATGCAGTGATAATTTACTAGATTTAGCAAAATTTAATCCTGTTTTTTTTTTCAGAAATCCTTTATGTCTTACAAATATACAACAAATATACGAACTTCAGCTTTACTGCCTTAAAATGTTTAATTGGTTATTTTTGTCATGTGATGAAAAATAAAATAGCAATTGGTCTAACCTCAGTGTTTCCAGTATACAATCTGGACTCTCCAGTCCAGCAGACAGAAGCTTCACTCCTGAATCCTGCAGACTGTTGTTACTCAGGTCCAGCTCTCTAAGACTAGAGGTCTGAGTCCCGAGAACTGAGGATAGAGCTTCACAGCTTGTCTCTGAGAGGTTGGAGGCACTTAGCCTGAGAAAAATAAAATAAATGACTTTTTTAACATACACACACACACACACACACACACACACACACACACATATATATATATACACACACATATGTACATATATATAAACATATATATATATAAACATATATACATACATACATACATACATATATACACATACATACATATATACACATACATACATACATATATACATATATATATATATATACATATATACACACACACATATATATACATATATACACACATACATACATATATACATATATACATATATATATACATACACACACATGCATATATATATATATACATATACATGCATATACACACACACATATATATACATACACATACACACACATATATATATACATACACACACATATATATATACATACACACACATATATATATACATACACACACATATATATATACATACACACACACACACATATATATATACATACACACACACACATATATATATACATACACACACATATATATATACACATACACACATATATATACCTATATACCTATATATACACATATATACATCATCACCCCCACCCGAGATTGGGTACATAGCCCCAAGTGCG